TATATGCCCAATATCAGGCTCAGAGACCCTCTGACCAAAGGGAGAGTCAGCTTGAGTGGTGCCATGAAAACCATTGCCAGGGACACAAGAAGGAAGTTTTGCAGATGTGAGGGAAGCCGGCATTGGAAAAAACCCCATCAGTACCACCTTCTGCAGAAGCTCAGAGGCCTGGGCGTGCGCATCTGCAGCGTGAAACCTGCACGGGGAGCCAGCACTCGCTTCAGTTCCAGCCTCCCTTTCCCGGCTGCAAGCCCATGGGGGCTTCCGGAAGGATTCCCCGCCCTTTGTTTCCTCCTGGAATCAATATCGAAGTTCAAGCTTGCTGACCTGATGGGTGAATAGTGGGTACTACCAGCTGGAAGGCTGCCATTGGCAGAGGCAGACAGGAAAACAGGAATGCTCTTAATGTCCTCCCAAAGAAAACCTTTGATGGACAAAAGAGTGGTTGTATTTTTACCCTCTCCCTTCCTGCTGCCAGGCATCTTTAAATAGATCCTCAAGCCTAGGGACTTGTATGGAATAATTCATATTAAAACTCAAGAAGTGGAGGAGAATTGGTTCTCTCTTCTCTCTCTCTCTCTCTCTCTCTCCCTCCCTCCCTCCCTGTCAAGCTAACAGGAAAAGGCGCGTTTTAATTCAGCTGTTTTAAATTTTTCCTTTTAGATCTTTTAATGAACTTCAGCTAATTTGGAAAAACCAACCAAAGCCCCCAGGAAAACAAAAGGAATAAGAAGCTGCCGTATAGATTGCTCTGTAATACCTCTTGATCCCAAGGACATTAGCAGCATCTTTTAAGGATGCTGAGCAGAGAGGGTCTTAAATGGAAATTTCTAATTGAGAAGTCCGGTGCCTTCCATTTGCAACTCATCAGCCAAACTGTTGTTCTGCTGCAGAGAGAGAGAGAGAGAGAGAGAGAGAGAGAGAGAGAGAGAGAGAGACATCTCCATTTCCAAAGCCCCGTGCATTTTCACTGGGCTCAGCCTAGGACCTATTTCTCCCCTCTCTCTTTCACCAAACAGGTTTCATAAACACCTTCAGGCTTGCGCTGGTCAAATTAAAAGTCCTGTCTCGCCTTCTTTCTGTTTTGGTGGGTGGGGGACGGAGATGCGGGTAGGATGAGGAAAAAGGGCAGGGCAGGGCCCAAGGATCCGGGAGCTTTGTTCTAAGTCACTTGTCTCTCCCCGCGAAACAGAGAATAATCACATTTCTCTTACTGTGGGCCGAAGTGCATCCAGGCGTTCCCATAGCACTCCCACCCCCAGGCCTTTGCGAAGATGTCCGGGTCACTATGATGGTATGCTTGTCCCTGCCAGCCCGGGTCACTCTGGCCCTGCTCTTGGGGAGCCACGTGGCTGCTCCTCTCTGCAAGTGGGTTCAGGCTCAGGGCTACAAAAAAGCCCCCATATCCTATCAGCTCGGCAGAGCTGGTGCCAAGAATGACATCCTGGGAATACTATGGAGATGAGGAGACCTCATAGGCTGTTCGCCCCGGATGGAACAGGACGCAGGCTGTCTGGAAAACAGACAAGCCAAGAGGGAGCTCACAATGGAAGGAGCTCAGGCGAAGGGAAAAGGGGGCGGGCTGGGAGCTGTCCTGAGCAAAAGAGAAGAAAAGCCACATGCCACCCAGGAAGATTTCAGGGCCAGCGGGAGGTGGTGGTGGAGGATGGACTTGCAGGAAAGAAGTACCCAGACATGGCACTGCCAGTTAGCTGGATTCTTTTCTGAATTAGATTATGTGCAGGAAAGAGGGGAAATATATAGCCGGCCAGCTGTTCAAAGGCTTACAACCTTGCTTTTATTGTCCGGGTAAGTTGGTGAGGTGGGGCATCAGAGGAATTCCAAACATACCATCCCAGAGAAATTTTAATATGCTCTACAGTGTCATACACGAAGAGGAAATGACAGCTGATCACAGCCAGGACTGGCCGCAGCAATTCAGGCCCCGGAGTTCACCCACTCTCCCCAGTCCCTGCTCCCCTGCTCAGTGTTAGCGCCGCTCCGTCTTTCCACCTGCTTCCCCATCCCCTCTATTCCTGCCAGGCGGCCCAGACCAAGCAGCACTCACTGATTATCGTGGAACGAGGTAAGGATGGGCTTGAAGGCCCACAGCCAAGAAGCTGAGGGCTGGCTAGGGTGAGTCAGGCACCCCAGGGAGACACAGGCATTTTAATCTAACCACAGGGGGATTATCTGCTGATAAGGACCAAATTGGGGTCCCTGGTGATGCTGTCTTCAGGGCTTTTTCCCAGTAACCTAACCGTGTGATAAAACGCCAGACTGACTTATTTGAAAGCAACACTGTGTGAGACTCAGAGATCCGGGTTGGGGGAGCAACTTCCTGCTAGCAGTTCCCAGGGGCCCCCTGAATGCAGGCCAGGCCCATTGCTTCCAATGGGTGTGAGAGTGGGACAAGTCAGTGGTGGGAGATGGTGACTACACCTTCCCCCTGTATGTTTCTAATTCAGTGAGTCATCCAGTGGCCCTGATGTCAGCTGCTGAGTAGGTGGCTCACACCCCGCCCCCAGTACAGACAGCATGTGGTCCTTTCGGAAGGGAGCTCAAGAGAACAGAGAAAGGATAAACTGCTCTTTTACCAGGCTTCTCCTACCTATCCAGGCTGCCAAGATCCTACCCTATTCACTGGGCAAGTGAGAGCTACCCAGGATCCACTGATCAAGTCCAACCTAAGAGGAACTCCTTGATCATAAGTAGAAAGCAAACCCATTGATAAGTGACAGCCATTTCAAGTAAATCTAGACACCAGCACCTATTCCATTTTTACCCAGATTACCTATTGACAAAGCCCATTTTGGTACGAAAATCTAACTGGAGTGAGTTTACAGTCAGAGAATAAAGGGGTAGGACCATGCTTCACTCACCTGTGTACCCATCAGGACTAGCATAGTATCAGGCATATTGCCAGTGCCTGACCAATATTATTAAAGGAACGATGGGATGAACAGTTCGCAGTAAGAATAATAGTGCTTAAATTATGAGTTCTTAAAGTAGAGTAAAATCACCAGCCACCATTGGTGGCTATAATTCCGAGAAACTCACCACATTTTTCAAGAGCCCAGGAAAATAAATGAGTTGGAAATTGTTAAATGTATTGAAAAGTGATTTATTTGCCCCTTGACAGTGTCATTGGAATTCAAATTAAGATTGAAAACTCCACGGGCACCTTTCCATCTGTGGGTGTCAGAGGCTTGGTACACAATCTCATAAGAAGGCCTCAGTCAGTTCTCCCGTTACCTGAACCAAATGTATTTTAAAATAAATGACGCAATACATTGCTTGTTGTGTTCAAACACTAACATATAATGATCTGAATAATGGTTTAAGAAAATTGTTTGGAGTCGGCTAACTGCTTTACTAAGTGCAGCAGTTTTAAGAAAAATCACTGTGAAGTTTTGTAACAATAGAATCTATATTACCTTTCTTAAAGGCTTCCTTAAATAGTGAATATTCCAAAGTTGTAAATTCATTCATTCAAAAGTCAGCTTTGTATGCATCAATGCTTGTCAGGCTAGGTATCGAACAAAATCAGAAAAGTTTCTCCTAAGTCAGGCCCCTATCCACGATGAAAACTGGTCAATAGGACCCTAAAGTTCACTTTCAGAAGCAAGACCGGTGGGAATAAAATGAACAGACACTTGCATCAGGTCTAAATGCTCAACTGTCCCCGCTATCTTTGACACCCACAGTCAACACCAAGCTGTAGGCACCTCTGCAGCTTCTAAATGCACCTAGTATTTAATGTTACATGTTGAAGCAATTTACTTAGGCCAGCTCCTTATAATTAAAATACACTAATATTAGAAATGAAATGAGGCATGCTTTGCTGTAGCCATAGCTGTTAACCATGACAGTCAGAAAGGACTCAGGACTCCCGTCTTGCCAAATAGCTTCCTTTCACGCACCTGAATCCCGGCCGAGCCGGGAGACTGCCCCTTTCCTGGAGGCTTATCAGGGTTTGGCCGTTACAATGAGCCTCAGTTACTGGGAGTTCTGAGTCATTAACATTCTGCACACAATCGAACTTCCAGTCCCCCAAGAAAGAGTTATGCGCAGGCCTCCTACAGCTCAATTGTTCATTTAAAAGGAGAACTTGTACTCCGGAGTTTGAAAGAACCCTGCAAATATTCCTCAGGTGTCTGCAGGAGTCATTCCTCCAAGTCCTGGTCCTTGTGCTGGTGGGAGCATCCTCTCCCACTCACTCCTTGGACACTGAAGCATTGGTGGTGCTATTGGGACAAGCCGACTACTAAAAATAACCTCTTGCAATAAGGCCAAGGCAAATAGCATGCATTTCCTCAGACTTTGTGCCCAATCAAAATTACACGGCAAACCATCCTCCTCTGTCCCCGATGCTCCCTAATGCATCTATGCAAGCGAAGCCCCACATGCGTTGGGAGAAGAATGCAAAGGAGCAAGATTCCTACAAAGTGTGACACCGAAAGCTAGAAATAAATGTTGCCTATTGTTTGAAGTCATTCTGAGCACTCCGGCACAGCCCTGGCAAGAGCTCAGCAGCATACATAAGTAGTAATAAAAGTAAACAGTGCGCGTTGAACCTCGCAGGCTCGCCTGAGCTAATAGTGCCCCCATTGTAAGTGGGATGAGGGCGGTGAGGAAGACACTGGGCTCCACGGATCCATGTCGGCAAGTTGCTGTTTCTCTGTCCCCCTTCACAGGGTCAAATATAAGAAGCATTACAAAGTTACATCTAACTACGCAGAGAGTTTGAAAAGAATTCTAAATCAAACCAAAAGATATTTTCGAGCTTCTCGGGAAGGCTCCCTGCTCTGTCACGGACTTCAAAGACCCTTTCATTTAAAAAACACAAGGCTAGCACGCTACAAATTAATGCAAATTAAAGTAATGCAAATGTAAGTGGTATTTAAAGGTTGTCTCTTTGTCTGAGAGGAGGATGAAAGGCTCGGTTTGGAAAGAAGTAATGTCCTAGGCAAGCGGTCAGCGCTTGTTTTCCTGCTTACCTTGGGGGAAACGCAGGGCTCGTTTCTTCTCAGACTTTTCTGAGAGCTAGAAAGAGGTCCTGTTACTTCCAAATGCTTTTGTTCTTCTGTCCCTCTGTCACATGGCTTGCCTTTTATATTTGCAACACACAAAAGTTAGGACTGTTGTTTAAGCGACACAGAGAGAGAGAGAGAGGGAGAGAGAGAGAGAGGGAGAGAGAGGGAGAGAGAGAGTGTGTGTGTCAAATGGAAAAGTGCCATTGCAGGCATATATCAATCAGGCGTGCGGCCGCAGCAGCGCACTAGCAAATGGAAATGCCACGGAAATGTGAGGCGCTCGTTATCAGGACTCACAGCCGCTGCCCACTGCTTGGCTCCCTTACCGGAGCATCTCAGGATGGGAACAGTGTAGAAGAACGAGGGCAAGGCAGTTTTCTTTTCTTGTCTTTTTCTTTTCTTTTTCCTTTCCTTTCCTTTTTTTTTTTTTTTTTTTGTACTCTGAAAATAATAGACTGAATGAATATTCTAAACTTAATTCTTTCGCAAGCATGTGGCTGTCATAAAGATGTGTGGTCCGCAATAGAAACACATAGTTTTGGAAATACAAAGACAGGCTGGCATTCTGTTCAACGACTCAACAGCTGACAGGGATGAAGTTGAAATGCTAAGAGAGGGGAAAGATGGACATGAGAAATCGTACTCAAGCGATGCCTTTCCAGCAAGTGCAAAACGCTGCCCTATGTAGTCATGTGTGTGGGTGGTGAGAGTTCTTCTTTTCTGAGTTATTCATCCATTCAATGATTTGTAGCAAGCATATACATGATTAAATTCACAATGGCACTTTAATAAGCGCCTTCATCAACATCATCTAAAATAAAACTTTAGATCGGATTTGGAAACAATGAGAAACGTGTGGTCCATGACTCCTTGAGACAAGCAAGGGTGTGACAAGCAGGTAAGGCCAACCCACCATATCACAATTAGTAGAAAAGTGGCAAAGGTAACTGCGTGTGGGGGTGAAGTGCCTGTAGCTGAATAATACTGTGCTAGGAGCTGTGGGACCACAAAGGGAAATATTTCATAAAGCCTGCTTAAAAGGCTTAAAATTAAGACAGAAAACCATCAGCAGGGTTTGTGGAAAATACAAAGAACCACTTCTAATTTTTTAAATGTCAGATTCAGTCTCAGAATAATTTGTTTCATTAATACTGATGAAGAATTAAACCAAGAATTATTTTTAAAACCCATGAGAGTTTACAGAAGAGTAAATACATCACAAAATGTAAGATATTTCTCTTGGAAGCTCCAGATAACTGTTAATGTCAAAATGGTCATATTTTGGTGTATCAGACCATTTAGTATGCATTAATAAAGTGATAATCACATTATTCCCTTTCTGAAGAAGCTTTGCTCTAAAGAGCCACTGGTGCTTACACTTCGTAGGGTTCTTCTTGTTTTCTTTTGCTTGGTGGTTTCTTTTTTGCAGTACAAGGGACTGAACCCAGGACCTTCACACTGGTTCTGAATTTGTGATCCTCCTGCCTCAGGCTGCCAGAATTCCGGGGTTACAGGTGCGTGCCACCACGCAAGAAGTATCTTAAAATGTTCCGTTGTTTTTCCATCTCTTAATAAGAAGAAGCCCCTTTTCTTTTGGTCTACCTGGAAAACCCTGTCTACCTTGGACTAGTCAAAGACAGAATCCACCCAGGATAAAGGATGAATGACAAGTTCAAAGCCTTGAAAGAAAACCTGGCTCTTGGCTGACGATGATATTGGCTTCATGTCTTAAAAAGCAGAAGATCAAAAAGCAAATGGAAATTGGGCCTCAAAAATGGAAATAATCTGAAAGGGGAAATGACTTGTCGCTGAGTAAGAGCCATGGAAACAGTCATGAATACGTTTTCTGGCTCCATTTGGTGGGTCACATTGGGAGGGAGAATAAAGTCTTTGGCCACCAACATTTTTAAATATCAGAGCTTGACGCTCGTCCACCTTTTCATTCCTCCTGAGAAATAGTTCACAGCTTTCTCAGCATATGGTCACTGCTCCACCCTGCCATCTTTCGCCTTGGGGTTCTCAGGGTTACCCTATCTGTGTCAAAGCAACATGAAAAGGTGTGGTTCTTCCTGGGCGGAATTTTCCAGCCCTCTACAATCTGTCCTTCTGGAAGAGCACTGCAGAAAGTGTAAAGCTTGCAAACATATTGAACGCTTGGCCTCAGAAGACAGGCTCTCTCCCAGATGGAGCCCCACGGCTTCCTCCCACCGTTACTCTGTCAGGGGTGGCGAAGAGTACCATCTGCTGCCCCTTTCAAGGGGAAGGCTTTGCCTCCGCCCATTGGGCTCCAGGGGGCCTGTTTCTAAGCCTGTCAGTAGGTATCTGGCAACGGCAATTCTTTGCAGCACATCGCGGTGCTTTTTAGAAATGTCACTGTGCCATGTGGTTACTTTCCTGGCCATCATTAATGCTGCCAAGAAGAAAAGGTTTCCTTTAAATGTCCATTTGTGCAAAGGGGATGAACATACCCCCGCAGTTGTTTCATCTGCACTCGGGGCGGGAAAAGTTTGCAGAAGGGGACTGTCTATCAGCTGGATGGCAAATCTTCCACGGATCGCTTCCGAGACTTTTGTTTCTGGTCCTGCTGTCAGGTTGCATCTGCCCTGTGGATGCCCAGTGGAAATTTGCAAGAGTCACCCAGCATCCAAACACCCCTGGCGATGGATCAGTCTGAGGAGCTAAGAAGACAGGACCTGCCTCCTTACTGTGGGACTTGAAGGAGCAGGTGTTTCCTCTTCCTTCCTCAGGCTGGCTGGAGGGCCCAGGTATGTCCAAGCCTGGCTCACTAGACAGCCCTCTGGGAGCAGTGACCCAGGCATGCAGACATTCAGAGCTTATTCCCTGTGGCTGCACTGCAACTGAGAGCCCGGAGGCTGTAGTGGGCCAGTGTCTGCGCAACAGATCCCAGCAATGGGACGGTGGGTGTCTGGAATACAGAGTGGTCTTCTTGACTGCATGAGTGTTTGCCACCATCTTATGATCCTGGGCCTCCAGCTTTCCTGGTGATTCTGTGAGCCACATGGTCCCCGCCCCTGCCAAGATCTTGCCAATAAATTCCTTTCTACTTTAATTAGCTAGAGACAGTTTTTGAGATTGGCAACCAAGAGTCTTGACCTGAATGCAACACTTTCCAAATTTAGGGAAACTAGCATCATTAGCATATAGATGGCAATGCAAGCCCCACTTCTTCCTGGTTCCTTTCCAAGACAAATGCATGACTTTAGATTCATTGTCAGTATCTTATAGTCTACTATCACATAGTAGAATTAGAAAGTTCATATACAGATTTATAACAAGATGTACGGTGTTCTGTGTGTGTGTGTATGTGTGTGCATATATATGTGTGTTTGTGTGCATAATCCTAATCTACCAACATAGTTTACTAGGCACAGTTTACAATTATCTATGAGAATATTAATCTGCATTGTCCTCATGAATATGATAATATTCACTCATTCAAAATACCTGTTAGTAAAAATAGCAACTACCTAATGAGTGGTTATTCTCTGCTGGGCTCTGTGCTAAATATTCTCCGCTCATGATCTTTTTGGGAGAGATACACAACAGCCTCATGAGGTAGATACTGTTGCCTCTCTTTTACAGATAGAGAAATGGAAGTTCTGAGGGGTTGGGAACTTACATATAGTTGACACAGCAAGCAAATGACAGTTAGGAACTCTGACTTTCCTATCTCCAAAAGTGATAGTTTAACTGCTTTGCCATGCTACTCCCATTCAACAGAAATTCCCTGAGGAGCACCTGCTATTGGGAGGGGCAGGAGCAAAGACAAGTAGGATCTGGATTCAGTTCTTCAGGTGTCTGTGATATGGTATGCAAGACAGAAATGTTTGTTTCACTGCAGATGTTCTTGCAATGACAACATTGCAAGGAAGAACGTGATCGGGACCACAAGAAAAGCGAATGAGGAAATGATGTGTCCCGGAGAACGCCACTGGGTCTGAGCTTTGAAGGCACACAGTGGGAACAGAGAATGAAGGTGAGCTTGTGGAGTAGCACACAGTCAGGCGTTTTGCCTGGGCTTAAACTATTCTCTGGTGAGCCGGGAGGGTGTGGAGCCAGGCTAAGAAGCTTGGGCCAGAGGGACTTAAAAGGTGGGCTGGAAGGGAAAGCCAGTCTGAGACAAAGGTGAGGTTACGTAAGCAGGAGAAGATAACCGAGGCAGAGGAGCAAATGTAAGCAGCTGACAGAAGTGTGGACATGTGCTTTCATTCATCCGTGCACTCACTGAGCAAATATGCTTTGATGAAAAGAACTATTTTTCAAAAAGTTTGATCACTTAAAAGTCAAGGTCACAAAACTATGCTAGATAACTTGAAATAAACTTTGAAATCAAGGAAAATAATTCTTAGATTATCTCTTAACTGCCCAATGCTAGTCTCATCCCAGCACACCCAGCATTGGATAAGATAAGGTTTTCACAGTCATGGTGGAGCAGTATGTCAGTAAGGACATGTTAAGGGCAAATGACAAATGCCTTGAATATCAAAGGCTTAAAACATAAGGGCATCTTTTAGGCTGGAGATGTGACTCAGTGGTAGAGAGCTTACCTATCAGGTGTGAGGCCCTGGGTTCAGTTCCCAGTACCACAAACACACAAACAAAACCAAAACATTCACATAAAGACTTTCCTGCCACTCAGTCAGAGGTGGGCAATTCTCGGGATAGTTCAGGGGCTCCATGACAGCATCAAAAATCCAAGCCCCTTGTTCTCTCATCGTGTTCAGCTTTGGTGGCTTCTGTGCTCCTCTGGCACAATAATTCATACCAGAAGGTGTCTGGTGACACTGTGGAACTCACACTGAAATTCAGGAGTCAAAAGGGAAAAACAGAAGAGTTTGCTCTTTGTTGGCTTCTTCCATCAGAAGGATGAATTTTCCAGAAACTTCAAAGCCTTCCTCTCACAACCTATTGACCAGAAGCTGGCCAGGTGGCCAGAATAACAATCTGTGCAATGTGAGATGCAGTCTACCTAACTGACCTGGCCCAAACACAATCTAGGCCTTGTTATTGGGTGCAGAGCCAACCAAACACGAAAGAAGGTACAGAGCAGTGGGTAGACAACTGGTAGCATCTGCCACAGTGAGAGAGGCAGGAAGAGAACAAGTTAGAGCCCAGCTTGAGCAGCTTAGCAACTTCATAAGACCTTGCCTCAAAATAAAAATAAAAAAGGGCTGGGGATGTAATTCAGTGCAAAGGCCCTGAGTCCAGTTCTCAATATTACCAAAAAGAAAAATTCTATACACATTCTGTACAAATACC